CAGGGGCGGCGGGGGCGACGCCGGGGGGCGCGTACACAATAAACTCGGCGAGTGTCTCTTCAAGCCGGAGGGCGGCAGCGAATGGATGGGCGTAGGGGCTAACAACCCGGGTCGCGAAAGCACTTTGCTGGCCGTGTCACTGTTGCGTCCCCAGCCCATGATGTCAGATATAAAATGCGGCGTGGGATTTTTCGGTGGTTTTGCGTAGACGTGAGGATGCCAAGAGTTCACTATCTGCAAAGCGGCAGTATTTTCTGAAGGGGAATCTACACACGAGGTTTTGTTTTGGTTTTCTGTAGGTATGTCCATAGTGGACGAAGTGGCTGAAATCACTTTCCCTGCCACTGACAATGTGCTTACAGGAACTGAATGTACACCTCGAGTGTCAGAAGACATGGACACAGTCTCTCCGGAAATATTCGGGTAATCAGAGCGGTAATCACATGGGAATTCATGGCGATCGATATTTGTCGTATTATTTTTACTTGGGTAGGTGGATGAGGGGTGAAACGTGACGCTTTCAAGGGTTCCTTCGTTCTGTTGCTCCGAGTGCTGCTGTTGCATACTGAGCATAAAAATAACAGCATTCACGTGTACCTATCAAAATGCATATGACAAAAAGAAAAACAGTTTGTACATGCATTTGCATTCAGATTTTCTTTCGTATTATACGCTGCATCATTTGGGTGTTGATGTTTTTTATTTTTGTATTTTATTGATAAAGTCAATGTATCGTATAAATCAGCCTCCAAACGTCAACAATTCACGTTACTAAAAGCAACATGGCTTTAATATGCACACTCCCATGGACGCTCCATGAAGCATTCGAGCGATTCAACCCCCACCACCGTTTGAACAAAGTGCTATAGACACGGACGTACGAGCAGAAAGCAACTCAATATCTCTGCTGAATGACGACGCATTGTGCCGTGCCGTGCCGTGCCGTGCCGCGTCGCGCTCTGACGAGTCATCCGGGCCGTTCCGGGCCGAGCCGCACCGCTCCGCACAGCACAGCGCCGAACGCGAGCAACTCGAAAACGCGTAAACACTGGCACTTCTCAGTTGCTCCACTCTCGCCGCACTTTGTAGAGCAGTGAACTTATACGTGAAAAGTCCAAATTAGACGTAATTGCATCACAATACGTTCCAGCACATTTGATGCTAACCAATCGAGGAAGTGTATAATACATTGATCGGAAATAAATATATAGAAATTTCTTATATTTGGTACGTGGAACACTGGACTACCGTACACGCACACATATCCACTCTCTAGTGACACAAGACACTCTTTACATATACTAAACAAGTACAACAGCAAAGGCACAGTTGCTTTTCGTGTTTTACGAGTATCATCTCGACAGAAACTACGAATGAAGTTTGGTCAGGGTAAATCACTTTCTTCCTTCCTTGTAACTTCTAATGATATTTTAGCACTTTTGCATTTAGACGACATAAGTTTACAGGGAAAAAAAATATTATTTCACTTCGCACTATGATTCATGTCGATCAGTGGCAACATATCAATATTGAACTTCACAATACGACACCAACGTACGAAACAAAACAACACTGTGTATCTTGAATGGATCGTCTGGCCTGCAAGGTGCGAGGAGGGCAGGCAGGCAGGCAGGCGGGCAGGCAGGCGGACAGGCAGGCAGGCAGGCAGCCAGCCAGCCTGTCAGCCAGCCAGCCAGCC